ATCATCCAGCATTGTCTTTGGCAGCCATTGAGAAACAAAGAAGGGTTAAAAACTGGATATGCATCTAAAATAAGATGTAAGTCACTGAAGATTTTCAGAAGACCAAGTAAACTGTTCATGCAATCAGTTTCTTCAAATGATTCTGGATCATACATGAATGAAGAAAAAAAGGAAGATGATCTGTGAAATAAATGTATGCAATCAATGTCCATTGAAGAACAGGGAGAACACCTAATGTTAACCTGATAGTCTTGTTACTGAATTCACACGGCAGCTGATATCCAGACATCATGCCAAAGGTGTCGTAAATTGTGCCCCGTGTGTAGGATAGTGTTATTCACCATTAAGTCATCCATTTGGTTTGTTCAGAAACTTTCACAATTATAATTGGTCTGATGTAGTTCCATGTACCAGTGCCATTTGTATAATAGAATTTATGTGTAATATATGCTTGTATTTCTGTCTAGGTAAATTATAATTTTTCTTGTCACTTAAAATGGAATTATTTTTCTTTAAATCTGACAAATGCATTGTATAATTCTTCTGTGTACAATAAATTCTAATATGGCAACAACAGCAACAACAAAAGAAGTTGAAGAGCCAAGATGTCACCCCAGGTACTTATCTAGAACCCAAACACTTTACTACTTTGGTAGCAATATATAGTATACTAAAAGGAAAAGTGACTGGGAGATGACAAATGACTAACTTTAAGAGGTATTTCTAGGGCAGAACTTGTTACAGCTGATAGCCAGTTGGCTGAAGATGGAGAAGAGTCAAAGGTGAATAACCCATAGGTTTTAAGCTTGACAGACTGAGTTGTTAGTGATGCTAGAAATTAAGATTGGAAATACAAAATATGGAGCAGATTCAGGAACTCAATGAGTATAAAGGGCCTGTTTGATACTCAGGAAATATTTTTTTGAATCAGAGCTCAGGATTCTGGCCATCAAAAATAATGAAGACTGGGGCCAGGGATTTAGCTCAGTGATTCCACCGCCTGCCTCGCAATCACAAGGTCCTGAGTTTGATCCCTGGTACCAAAAAAAAAATAATGAAGACTGTGGATGCAACAGTGATGCAACGCATAGCGTGCGTGAGGGCCTGGGTTCAACACTCAGCACTGCACTAATAATAATCATGGTGATTATGATAACTTTTAGTTGATAACTTTTCATATGCTGAGAATTTATTTAAATGTATTACCAAGTATATATGTGGAATCCTCACATTTACTTTTTAAAAACAATAGAATGTTTTCCCTTTCTTGACAGGTAAATAAACAGATTCATGGAGGCTAAATGGTTGTTCAACATCATTCTGTTTCCTCAACCATGCCTTCTCTTAATTCATAAGCATCGAAGAACAGACAGAAGATAGCTTCTGTAAAATGTCCTGGCTATAAATAATGACACCTACTTTAAGGTGCTTTGAATGCAGAGGGGAAACAGAATTCTCTTTTGTAGATGCTTCTGGCAGCAATTAAGCAAGTTCTGCTAACTTTTTGGTGCCCCCTTGTGGACTACACTAGAGTTACCTGACCTAACATTGTTTTTCTACCATCACACCTCACTTTCTCATCCTAGGAGTCAGAAAACACTTTTATCTATCCTCTCTGGAACCTCTGACTTCATAGTTAATTTACACCTCAGGGCTCTCTCATACGTAGCATCTTGAATTTTCCTTCGTTATTTCCCACTCTTTACCAATTCTTGCACTTGAGAAAATATATTTCCTTGCTCTTTTTCTGTCAGCAGGAGCTTCTATCACAAGGAGCTTAAATTCTATTGGAAATCAGAGTTTAATGATTTCCTGGCTCTACTGTTCTTATTCATTACTACACTTCTTTCTCCATTACAACATGCCTGAGAAGCTCTATAGAAGCCTTAGTACTATGCAGAGGATTAGCTGAAATTCTTGAAATTCTTTGAAGGAGGAATTTGGAAAGGTTTGGAGATGCAGGCTAGGAAAGTCCTAGAATGCTGTAAACAGAATGTGACAGGTGATTCTGGTTAGAGCTCAGCAAACCAGAATGCTAATAGGAATGTAAAAATAAAGACCAGATTCAAGAAGTTTCAGTTGGAACCAAGAGCTAGCAGTTGGACTAGTGATCATGTATGTTCTACCCTGGCAGACCGTTTTGTCCATAGTTTGCCTATGTCTTGAGACTAAGAGACTGAGATTAAGGATGGTGGACTAATTTATCTGGCAGAAGAAATATCAAGACAGCCCAAAGTTTAGGTTATGGGATGGGCACTGCTTGCTACTTTTAGCCAGATTTATAGTTAAAGTTGGAGGCAGAGCATAAAAATTTGAAAATCTTAAATGTTACCCAGAAGAAACCATACATAAAGTTGGGACCAAAAGTTGTGTGAGTGCTGAAGAGATTAGCACCTTTAAGAAGAAATCAAGTACTTTCTACCAGGATAAGAAAAAAGATGCCTTAAGGTCACCTCAGAAATCAATAAGAGCTCACCAATTGTAGGCTCAAGAGTGCAAAAGTATAAACCTTCAATTTGAGAAGAGAGTATCTGCAACACTTGCTCAAGAAATGCCTCATAAGGAATTTGTTCATTATAATTCATTTTACTGTGCTCAGCCATCCAGACACTTAGAGACAACTGCTGGCAAGGTCCAAGGACCTGGGTATTACATCCTCAGACAGCAGACCTTGGCATTGTCTATGTGATGCTGGTTTACCAGTAGGTAGAATGCAAGAGTTGTAGGGTCACAGAGGCTTCCACTCAGATTTCAAAAGAAGACCTGGTAGGCTAGGCAAGGAGTCCCTGAGAGTGCAATATGTGAAGCCATGAGAATGAAGCTAAAGGTGCAGTGGACACCTCAGGAAGTTGAGATGCCAGGGTGGAATTTCTGCGTAAGAAAGTTGTAGTCCATGAATGGAAGTAGCCCAAAAGAGAAACCACGTGGTCTATGATTAATAAGGCCATGGAGGGGTGTCTGCCTAAGTCTTTTGGAAGTCACACTTTATCAAGTGTGTGCTTCACAAGATGGATATAGAGCTACCAGATTTAATGTTTTCTGTTATGGATTTCATTTGATCTTGCTTTGGTCTGATCTGATTCTTTTCTATCCCCTATTCCTCCTTTTTGAAATGGGAATATTTATCCAGTGCCGTTGTGCCTTCGGATTAAGTAACCTGTTTTGATTTTTATGGAAGCTCACAGCTAAGAGTTTGGAAACTTGGACTTTAGACATTTAAAATATCCTGGAAATGTTGACATTTTCACGGAATGAATTGTATTTTCAGCTGTAAATGGAATAGTATTATATTAGGCAGAATTATGAACTTGCTATTACCTTTATTTGAAGATTGAGTATGGTTTAAGGAAATGTTTGAGTATGAAGTTGACAAGGTTTGGGATATGGCAGTTAGGATGGAGTGTCAACTTGATTGATTTTGGGATTTTCCTGAGGAATTGGTGGAACACACTTCTAGTGGGGTATGGAGGCCTGGCCTTGGGGTCTGTGTCTGATCTCTTGCCATTTCCTCTCTGGCACTCTTTTCTGGCTCTGTTTTCTGGTTGCCATGAGCTAAACAGCTTTGCTCCACCATGCCCTTCTGTCGTGATGTTTCTGCCTTGGAGCCAGGTGATCATGGACTGAATCCCTTAATGTTATGAGCCAGATTAAACCTCTCCTCCCTGAAGTTGTGAATGCCATATATCATATCTCAGTGATATAAAAGATAAGATTACTAATATAGAATTCAAATCAGTGTTTTCTGATGCATTTTGCTGATTTCACATGTTTAGTTGGCTCAGAGCCCAAACTCATAGGAAAGTATCTAGTGAAAACTCTGATACATAATTATTATGCAATACATGTTTGGTTAATGAATAGACATATGTATGAACAGTTCTACTTATACCTGAATCAAGCCAAAGAAAAGTAATGAATTTGGCATTAAATGGGAGATATAATACTTAAAGTGTGAAAATTCTGTAAACTCTCAGAAGTTTTCCTCTTATGTGGAAGTTTCTTTGTGTCACTGTTCTTTAATTAAGAATGATTTTAGTTCCAGACATTCAAGGAATGAAAGAATAATTTTGAGGTTCACTTTTTCATGTTTCTATATTATAATTTTATATCCTTTCTGATTGTGTATTCATTGTATATTAACTGCATTATATCTGAAATTGCTGTTGTGATGTGACCTTTAAAACTAATACTTTTATGGATAAATGTAATTGACTACCAAACAAGTAAGACTTACAGTCTGACTATCTTTTGAAATGCAACCAGGCCATTGGTGTGGGAACTGGCTGTAATTGAGTGGGAGACAATTAGCATAATCAGAAATCAGAGATACCAAGTTATAACCAAGTGTGGTTTTGGCTTCTTTGTCCTGTATTTTTCTGTCTAGTCAGATTGGAATGTAAATAGATTAAAGGGAATCTAGCAGAAGAGGAAAACTTTGTAGGTGCTCCTAGTGAGAATGACTGTGATGGCTCAAGGCAGTTGAATGAGGCTATCAAATCCCTACTTTTATAAAAGGAACAGATATCTAAGGAGGAAAGAAAAGACTTCATGAACTTCATCTGGCTTGTAGATTTAAGAGAGGTAGACAGATGAAATGCTTCTCTGGAGAGGGTTGGCTCCAAAGTGTAAACATGTTTACTGGGATAAATAGCCATACAGAGGTTTAGACATCCTTAGAGCAAGAACTAGAGCAAAAAGGAAGTATTCTGGAAATGATGTAGCTATGCTGATATGACTGTGGATGTAGGGATGTCTGGAGAGGTTGAATAAAAACAGGTCCACCTGCATCCACAGTCTTGGGGAAATAGGCACACAAAATAGGGCCATTTTGATGGATAGAATAAATCAGAATATTTCGGTGATTTCTCTATATCTAGTAAGCCCTGCAAAACTATGTTGATAGAGCACACCCAGGTGTAACCAAGCATAAGTGAAAGACTTATGCATTCAGTTGGTTAGACCTTGTTCTAAAAGTTATGTTTCCCTTTTATCTCTTCCAGATATGGATCAACTCATAAACAACTTAGAGGTCCAACTTAATGCAGAAGCTTGCTCAATGGAGGCTTTCAAACAGGTCAGTTATCAGGAAAATAAGGTACAAATATTGAACTATAATAGTGTTGTGTACTTGGAAATTATTGCAGAGATGAAGCTCATTTTTTACCTAACATGTTTTTGGGCTTGAGAATGGATGAAGAAAATTAGATATACAGGAAATATCTTCATGCCTGATTTTCAAATTCAGCTAGAGAGTAGGTCTGGCCTGAAAGAAACAGCCTCTAGGATCAAGGGTATACAGACAATATTGGACGGTTGGAAGACAATAGCAGCTATTTTTCTAGCAATATCCCATACTTCAGGTACTATAAAGAATAAATACATTGTCTTACTTAATCTACAACAATAACCTTGTTGAACAGTGTATTTATTATTTGGGTTCTCCAGGGAAACAGCTGATATGTATATATACATATATCTATATCTGTTTATATGTATAGATAGATATCTAATAAATATATATAGAGAGAGAGAGTTTATAAAATTGGGTTATGTGATTATGGAAACACGCAAAATCAAAAATCTGATGAAGTAGTCCAGCAGATTGGACACTCAGGAGCAGTACCAGTTTGACTCCAAATTTAGACTGCTGGTAGCATTTTTTCTTGCATTAGAGGAAGTCAGGCTTCATTTTATTAAAAACTTCAACCTATTGGTTGAAGATCATACACATTATGAAGGTAACATTCTTTACTTAAAGTCCAGTGGTTTAAATGTTAGTCTCCTCTCCCAAAAAAATACCTAGGAAAAAACACCACAAACACAGACACACAGATAGTGGGGGAGGGGAAGCAGGATGATGACGGAACAAGAGAGAGGGAAAAAAATTTAAAAAGAAAGGGGGAGAGAAAGGAGAGAGAGAGGGAGAAAGAGAGAGAGAGAGCTCTAGAATAATTTTTAACCAAATATTTGGCACTGTAGGTGCGCCAAATTGTCACATAAAATTAATCATTGCTATTCTCAAGTGTTCTCATTTTATGTGAAAGGAACTGGCTTTGAGCAATATGAAGAAGCATTTAAAACAGATTATTTGGCTTATAGAGCAAAGAAATTTATGCTAGACATTAAAGTCTTGTCTTGCTTAGTCTTGAGTGGAACACAAATTTAGCCAAATTTCCCTGGAAAATCCTTAAAATGCCTATAAATTTGAGTATCCACCTTTATGTATATAGTACTTACCTGTTCTTTTAGATACTTCCAGATAAAAAATCTCATTTACAGTTAGAAGTCATACTGCATTTTTTTTTGTTAAATTCTTTTATTGGTACATTATAGGTATATAACACAATTACATTTCTCATTGGGAATTGTACCTTTATATAATGCATCTTGGTTCTTA